GTATTTCATGAAGTATTCAGCGTGAACCCCGTCCATGAGCGTACTTATCCGGCTTCAGAATATAAGAGCATTTCAGAGCCAGTTAGAGTCTGTTCCTGTATAGCTAACGCATTCACTAAACGCAGATAACAACCGTATCCATTCCAGCGATTAGTCATTATTTCATGTTTATGAAAAATAATATTTCTCCTGGGTATTTTAAACGCGACCCCGTGTTTCTTTTCTAGGGCTGCATAATAAAACCAGGACTAATCTTTGCAAAGCAAAGGTCACAATTTCCGTCTCGACGGCGGTAGGTTAATTAACTACGCTGCAATTTAGAGCATGCTTACCTTTTTGGAGAAACTAAGAGAACGTCATTAATCGGATAAAAATGGGGAGATGAAATTTCTACATATTGCCAAGTCTCCTTTGGTCCAGTTACGGAGAGGAAAGGAAATTTCTGTCAACCATTTCACCTGAGAAGAGTGACTATTGACTGTTATCAGAAACAACCAGTGGGATATTAAGACGGAAGTTTCCCGAGCAGGGCCTGCGAGGCTATTTTCGTGTTAGTCATCAGCCTTAATGCCCCCCTAACTCTTTGTTTACCGCTTTGGTTTATAAGGTTTGGCTGTTTTGGATGAGGAAACTAGAGCGCCAATGTTTGCCTTATTCACCGTAGTCAGCTGACCATAAGCTTTAAGCAATCAGTGATGGTCACAGGTTGGATTTCTGATTTCCTTGCAAATTGAACCAGACGCCTTATTAGTTAAATAAAGAACAAATACCCAGCCGATAAAAATTAGGAATATTCGCTGATATCTTGATTGCAGAATGAAAATGGGCAGCCCTTAGAACTAATGATCTAAAACACTCGCTAGTTACAAAATGAAGACTATCAAGTAATAATCAATCATGTTAGCAACAAATACAGGGACACAAATAGCCACGTCTAAGCAACTTTCACCAGGCGACATCCGAAAATGTCGACTGTCGTCCTCTAATTAAAATGGATCTATAGACGCCACTTTGCAGGAAGGAGGGCATTGTTTAGTCATCAATGGAGTGCAGAAATTATTTGGGACAGAACTAAGTATTGGCGATAAGTAAGCGAATAATCACAATTCCGGGGTCCCTTAGCTTATTCCTAACAATAATTGATTGCTTTGCGATTTTAAATGGTTTTTAAAAGGTTATAGTCTGTCTGGGGGTTATTCCATTTCACCGTGTACCAGCAATTTTTTTTCAATATTTTCTCGGTTTATAAGAGGTCGGTCCATACGATGACCTTCCGTCCTGCTGCAGTAGACAAGTGGAAATAATACGTCCTGCCCAGTAATCCAACTAGCATTGAGGGTATCTGTACTCACCGATTGCACTGCAACATTTAGTGAACCACAGCAATTAACCTACACTAAAATTTCGAAAAGAACCAAGCAAGACCTTGGAACAGTAACCGCCCACAATGCAGGTGGCTTTGCGCCAAACTCCTGTGACACTAGGGTCAAGTTTATGACTAAGATTGGAAATAAGTTTACAGCTAGAGTTAATATCATTTAGATTGAACTTTAGAATAAAGACTTAGGTTTATTTTAAGAATAGATTAAGGGCGTAGGATAGTCTAAGTGTTAGATTTAAGAACTATTTCACACACCGAAGCAACTGCTCACATTCCAGGCGTGTGTATACGCAAAGAAGAAGACGAAGACTATGAGGAAGAAGTATTCGATCTTTGAAGATGGACTCCACTAAGAGCTTGAAAGTTCAGATGAATCAAGCCATAACTCCGGCGGGCGAAGGACCATTTTCTTTATTTGTGCGGGAATATTTACCCTTCAGGTGATTTTGCACAGGGGTGTTTCAATTCTCATGTCCTGTTTAGGAGGTCATCTACGTAATCCTTACCTACATTTCAAGCGGTGTATTAAAATCGCGAAACTTCTTATAAATTGACTTTTGTTCAAGCTGGCGGACTAAAATCACAAAAACACATCTAGGTTACCTTTCTCTGAATAAAGACCCGAAATAGTTTAATGGATACATTATATGAACTAAAAGAGGAGAGGAAACGTACTAATGGTCGATAGTTAGAGCGTTGGGCTTCTAATCGACAAATCGCGGGCTCGAGTCCCTGGCGATGCATCACATGGGGTTATCTATGGCTGGCTGATAACGTCTAACAGATCAGAAATTGTCAGTTCAGCCACGTTTTTCTTTATCGGCCATGCTCGTTTGCCTAATGAAATTTCATTTCAACTAGACAAACCCTTTTTCTGGATGTCAAACACCAATATTAGTTCTATCGAGGCCATTGCAAGTTCACCCAGTCACCTGTTGTTATATATTTCTCCTTCTTCGCCTTCATCTTAACCAGGAAGGGTACACGGCCCTGCATTACGCCATCATCAACGGCCTTGACGGTTCAGTGTCTCTTCTCCTCTCCAACGGGGCAGATGTAAACGCGGTCGGTCGAAACGGTTACCGGGCGGTGCACATTGCCGCCGCGAGGGGACGCGTGTCCGCTCTTCGGCTACTGGTGAATCATGACGCTGATTGCATTTCGCGAAATTGGGTAGGTTATATTACGCCCACCCCCCTCCTAATTTTTTGATGTCCACAGTGGCACATAATGGCGTATTGGCAGCAGGACAACAGTAACCGAAATAGTATTACCGGCAAAGACCAGGGAGACTAGAATGGCCACTTCTGGCTTATAAACCGTCGTCAGCTAGTCATACCCAGACTCAAGTGCTGCCCCAACCGAGCCTCGAACTCGCGACCTTTTCGATCAGAGTCAAACGCTCTAACCAGTGAGGTACGAGCTCGTTGTCTTGCCGGGTTAGGTCGAGGGATATTGACACTCATTGATGAACATTCACCCGACCGTTATCGGAACTCATCTGTTCTGCTCCACCCGGGCTGACGACGGCTATTAAGCCGGAAATGGCCATTCTAGTCTCCCTCGTTTTTGCCGGTAATACTATCTGTCTACAATTCCAGATGCTATGGCTGGCAGGGCCTCTGTTGAGACCACAGACAGAGTGGGACAAACGAGTTCCGTTAGTGGTCGGGTAAAAGTTCACCAATGAGTAACCCAAATGTAAAATTTAAGTAAGCTAGAGCTTTGCCTGGATAATGACATGTAACAACTTGGAGTTTTAATTATTCTCCATCCTTCTTATTGCAGTCAAAAATTTTAAAAGGACTCTTACAGAATAAAGAGGGAAGGCACAGAAGAAGAGGATGCGATCAAGAGTTTTATTTGTCTTACGTTTCGGATTCCGTCTGGAATCCTTAAACAAAGGTGATGGTAACACAGTAATGGTCATGCGCATGGTCACAATGCTACCACTCACCCAAAGTGCTTACGTTTTACGTTTTTTTTCATGGGTTAAGATATTTACTCATTGATCCTTGTACAAGCTTACTTGATAATTTACTTTGAAAGTGCATAGCTTAACTAGAGCACACCAGTTGCTGAGGTATCTTCAACTTTAAAGAAGTTTCTCACCCATCTCTTCCTCCCCCACCCCGATTGTGTGTTGACCGTATATTTTACAATACAACTGTATGTCATGCACGAAAACCACGAAAACGGGTAAGCAGTGGAGATAAAGGCAAGCTTTCACGCTTATTTATTAAAGTCTCACATTGATTTTCTCAAAAAAGCCCGTTTTCAACAAAACGTTGCGATGAGAATGGAATAGAATATCTGCAGTCCAATTTACAGCGGGATCTTAGCTTGAAACTCGAGTGTAGCGGCAGTTTCTGTGGCTATACTGGAGTTGGGTATCTGCAGCTGATGACAGCTAATAAGCTACATATAAATACGCGTATACTGCAGTCCTAACGTTTGCCGGTAATACCTTAACGGGATCTTAATTCGCAAGGAAGCCCAGAGTGTAGCAGCTGCTCCAAGGTCCTAATTCTCTGGCCTCCCGATGCCCGCGGCAAGCCGGCTAACGGACAGTGAACACCACCAAAGCATGGCGGTCCCCAGAGGCTTGAGCTGAGCGGCGTCATGGTCTTGCATGCACTTCTGGCTAGCCGCGTTTGCCAGCCTATTTGGCGGCCAGGTGACCCTGTCATTAGAACCTAC